AATAAGAATTACACCGCAACCTTGTTTATCTAAAGTATCCCGCCTGCTGAACTGACATAACGAGCCAAAAAGCAGGCAAACCATGGAGCGATGGTAATGGCAGTGGGTGAGATGGTGACTCCGCTGCACTTCTCACAATGTGTATGCAAGTGGGTTTTTTTATATTCTAGATAATGTTTACACCAGAAAAACAAGATTTTATTCCCCTTCAGTTACATATAAACCTTTCTTACAAATAGAGTTTTCACATGTAAGTCAGTTTTTAAATGTTATGGATTGGAGCTTTATTTTTCATTCTAGTTTTGTTGTTTTGTGTCATTGACTGTAGTGCAGTGGTTCTCAACCTTTTTTGGACCCCAAAATTTATACACACCAGGCCGTGTATCCCTATTTGATATGATGTAGTGTCAGTGATTCCCATCTGATAATATTTATTTATTCCATGACTGTCTGTACTGCAGATTAACAGTGAACAGTCATTCTTATACATTCTCTACTGTTCTCTTTTACATTGGCTTACTTCTAGTCAATAATAGTGAAATTAGTCCCATTTTTTTCCCCTGGAACCTCCTCAAGGACCGATGGGGGTCCCTGGACCCCAGGTTGATAACCACTGATGTAGTGGATAGACGATGACATTTTCATTTGAGTGCAGCTGTGGCCACCAATCAAAACAATGTCTGCATCATGATAGCAAGGCACGTTCATTAAATGCACTCTACAAATGTCATATGGATTATGGACTGTATGGGTTTATTCTAATCTACAAGCACTGTAGATTGGTTTGTAGATATGTACTGATGCTGTTATTAGTCTGATGTGACAAATAGGGAAAATACAACAATAACTCAAGTAAATAACTGTGTACCTTATCATAAGGTAGCCAAAATATTTTGTTCAGTCATCTGGTACAATATTCACTGTGCACATGGAGACACATGTGCAGCATGTAAGATCACAGTCTTGTCATAAGAAATTATTCTTATTTGACATTTACATTGCGTTCTTCACATTTCTCACACACACACACAGACACACACACACACACACACACACACCCCGTTCTCTTACCCTGC